TAGGCTGAATCATTCAAAATGTAACTTACAGTAACCTACGCTCATGCTATGGACGTCAACATAAGATTTATCATTTTTTTCGCCTAATTGAAAATGCTTTTATAGCCAAATTTAAAAACCAATAAAATTTCACAAAAACGGTTCCGTAATGAATTTTTTACTTATCTATGTCATATTCATTTGTAACCAGTCGTAAAGGTGGTAAGAACCTGGTATTACTGATTGAATTAACCAAAAAGGAAACACAAACGATATGCGGGACCAGCGGCTATCGGACCTGCTCTAATGCTAGGCCGCGAGTATACTACTAGAGAGAGTGCCTCACTTTTTGATGGCTGCATTACAAGCGACTGCTGTTTCGAATCAAGTACAGTACCATACAGTAAAGTAGGCCCGCTGCCCTACCTGTTGATTTGCTCTACAGCACAACAAATGTAATTATCAACCAGAGCCTCGCAGGCACAAACGTTCCTATGCATGATACATGACTTAACCAACCATATTTTCTGATTAAGTCATCATAAATGACATAATCAGAAAATATGGTTGGGTCAAATTTGTGTGGCGGTTGAAAAATTCAGGGGGAGTCTTTATGGCCCAAAATAGTGATTTTAGACCACATTGGTAATGTAATTTGATAGGCAAATTACAGTAATATTTTTAGCAAATTTCTTTGAAAAAATTTTGTAGGCCTAGGCCTAGCTAGGTATACAGTATTTCATATTACAGTAGTTTGGAACTATATCGGGAGTGGGGGAGTTGGCAGTGGCCTACTAGACTACAATTTATTTGAAAATAGCTTGGGCCCCATCGTCCACACTGGTTGGGCCCAATCGTCTGTCACCTGAAGTTTTCATCACAATGATCAAGAACGTACACGATCTACGCCCTAGGCTAGGCCTACAGTAGCCTTGCTGCCATCACTCTGCTACGTATACTACCGCATAACAAAGAGCGCGGTGCATTCTTAAATTTTACACACATTATTTAAATGTAAGAAAGTATAATACATACTCCAAGTACTGAAATACACGCCATCGTGTTGGGATTCAATATTTCGACATTAATTATGTCATCATCAGGAATGATACTTGGAGTATGTATTATACTTTCTTATCCGAGATTAATCAGTGGACCTTTCGGTTTTTATTTAAATGTATTAGACAATAACACGATATCATTGATTAAACAATCTACCACCCTCGCATCACAGTAACTACTGTACTAAACTAGGCCTAGCCTAGGTGTGACGTAGCATGGGATTTATCCCATGATTCAGTAATGGGTTATTCATGAATTTGCTATTTCTAATCATTGGCCAGGCATACAGGTCAATGAAATTGCCCTATTTGATATATTATCATTACATTGATTCGATGTCAGTGATGGTCCTTGTTTTTGGAACTTGTCATTTATCATTTGGCTTGACATGTCAATAGTGGGGACCAAAGGGTTCAATGACCAGGACCTGTTGATAAATGAGAAGAAATTGTATGGGAACCAAAGGGATGTGGTTAGAATTGGAATGTAGATCAAATGTTGGGAAGTTTCTTTAATACAATCAAGTCCGCCAAAGTCGACTCTGTTAAAGTCGATAATTCGCGTCAGTCGAATTTTTGAAAAAGTCTCAATTCTTTCCTATGTATTACTGCGTAAATTGTTTGTTTAATTCGAATTTTTATAAGTCGAATTTCGGCTATATCGACGGAATTTTCCGGTCTGGATAGGCCGATTTTAAAGTAATTTTAACCACACAAGTCGAAGTTCCAAATTTAGTAGCGCACGTGGGAAAAGTACACAGCCGTGGGAAAATACGAAGTTCAATCCTTGTTGTACGGCAACAAGTTAGCCATATCAAAACAAACATCTCAGACAGCGTGCTGTGGAACTTGGCTCACATGATCGTATGTCGTAAGTTGCAGTCTAATCTCACAATACAGACACCCCTCTGGACCGGCTCCAATGTTCAGTTTTCCCTCCAGTTCAGTTTGTAAAACTTGTATTGAACCCATTTCGAACAA